GGGAAGTGCTACATGTACATAATTTTGTACATAATGGTGTCCATAATTACACGTGGCACTGGATCCAACCTTTAATTCAAATCTCACACTTTCACATCAACAGTCAGATCTTGTCCACATCATATTATGGACACCATTATGTGGCCAAATTATGTACACTTAGACTTTTCCATAAAACATTAAAACCCTAAAATTTTCACAAAGTTGTCTTAAACTTGGTGCATAAAAAAAAAAAAAAAAACTCCAAAATTAAGAAATAGAAATCTTCAAAAAATACTTTTTTACTGGTCAAAAAATTTATTTATTTATTTATTTTATTTTAAACCTTTCTAAAATTAAAAAAAGTAAAAATTATAGTTGATGTGCATGTAGCAGGTAAGACCTTGACCTATTCTTTCGACAGATACAGTCCCCAACATTTCTATTTGAGCACAAAGTAGTCCTCATTGCCGGTAAATTCAATCCATTAAGGTACAATACAACCATAAAAACAAATCCATCAAGACCTGGAATTAATACGATAGAATTCACCTACCCTCTATAATAGAATTAGACCAAGTGTTTGAAATGGGGGTATATAATCCTCATTTGCCCTCTTCGAATGTTGGAAGAGAACTAGAAATTTAGAACCTGTACTGAAATTTTGGGAATAATTGACCTACTTTCTTTTGGTTTCATCTTGTCTATGAGGTATATGTCCATATCCTTGACTTCGGACTCAAATAACTTGTTCTTCCCTTCGAATAATGTCATGACTCGTGTAATTGTTGGCCTAGAATTAGGATCTCGACTTGCGCACAAGAAGCCTAAATGAAGCACTCTTTTGACTTCCTCTTCAATGAATCCTCCCTCCTTTAGTCCATGATTGTGCATCAAGGGCGTGATTCAATTCTCCTCTCCCCACAAGCTTCTATAACCAATTTAACAAAGGTGGTTTGCCTTCTTCAACCAGTTGTATCCCACACATGACCTCCAAAACCAAGACACTGTATGCAAATACTTCGGTTTACTTCTAGTGACATATCCAATCGTATCCATCACGTCGGATATTTTTGTTACATTTCTCCATCCTCATACCCAATTAAAGCGGGACATAACGGATTTGGGGCATGGTGGGGGCGGGGCCGGGCCCTTCCTATTTATTACCTCATTTATTTATTTTTTCTTTTTATTTATTTTATTTTTTGCTATTATTTTTTTATATCTTTAGTTAATAAATGTTATTACTTTTTTTTACTAATTTGTTAAAAACAACTTATGTTCTCTTTCAAAATGATGATAAATTTATTATTTTTGTTCAATAAAAAATTTAAATTTAAAATTAACTTTAAACAAAGCGGGTAACGAGACATGTACTATATTTTCCATATCTGTCCCGTACCCATTTCAGGAAAATGACCCACTCCCCGTCCCCGGCCCACGGATATTGGGTTGAAAGAATTTTTTTTTCCATCCCTACCCTTGGCCCACGAATTTGACATCCGGGTTTCGCACCTAGAACGCACATCATGATGTTAAGTCCAGCCTCGAGATCATTTACAAGTATCTCCTGCAAAGGGGTATCTTCAGGAAGTTGATGGTCCTTTGCTTTTTCTATAAGATATTCATAATTTTTTATAGGCATCTCATCCTACAAACATAACTCATAAGAGATATTAAACGGCCTTTAAAATCAAAATCTGCAAGAAATATAACATAGGTAACACATGAGATATAGCACGACCCAAGAGATATAATCGACCCACAAAAACATTTCGACCATGGCAATATCCATTTTCAAATTATCCACATTAAAAGCATCCAAAAATTGTCATACTACTTAATCTCATGATAATTTTTCTAGCCTCTTTTAATTTAATTTTGCAATATATTTTTTGCGTCTAAGTTGGTAGATAATTTATAACAAGCATACAGACGAACGATAAACACGTGAAACAGAGTACAGGTCATCATAGTCATAGTCTTATGGCTAAAGGGAACAAGGAAATGCTGACCGAGTGAATTCAACAAAGTTCCCAAGTTCCCTCAGCCAGATCCTTCACGTTTAATATCATTTTTGCATAAAAAATTAGTTCATTTTTTAAAAATAAATGTTGAAGAATCTCAAAGAACTATAACACAAAGATTTAGCATAGAGATAAAACATGTACCCATGCCCAGTTCCACTACAGCGATCAAACGCCATTCGTGGCCATTCCCGTTCCTGTTCCCCTTCCCCAACATCGCCATTGCTAAAACCAGGTCAATGACCACCACTATAAAGGCCATGGGGACCGCCAAAGCCACCACTCCTCTCCGAAGATGTTCCTGTATCAGCCCCTTCGTTTGCAACTATACCACCAGAAAAATCCTCGTTCTGTATGAATTCTCACTGTTGCTCGAGTCTCTATTATACACCCCCAGCACTAGCTAGTCCACGCCCATATCCATGTCCTCCGTTGCAGCCTCCTCTTGCAAGTTCAGGTATTCCCTTCCTGACTACTTAAATGAACAATGCACATCAATAAATGCCACCATTCAGGCATAAAAATCTCCCAAAACTCGTTAAATTACGTGAGCATACTTGAGAGAATAGCTTCCATTGAAACCTGTGAGGCCAATATGCTAAATAATTAGATTTGAACTATGGCAGAAAAAGATAAATCATAATACTTTTATCCTAAAAATGATTCATTTAAAGAAGCTGCTAAAAAAACACATACTGCATTGAACTAGACTACGCAAAATAGCATCAACTCATCTAAAATCATCTATTCTTTTGTTCACATACTAATACTATGAACTAATAGAAGCTCTCCAGACAGCTATTTTTCGAGTTCTATATCAAATGAAATGGGGATAGACCCAACAGTTTTTATCATAAACTGAAGAAACTCTAAACGAAATTATTCCTACTAGGAACCCCCTGTACAAATTGTCATGAAACAAAATGAAAGGGAAAGAGTAACAAGATGAAATGAAGTGTCCGAAGTTAAGTTTAATTCAGCTGTCATTATCTGTGGTTCCATTATATGGCGAAGAGACCAAAACTTAATGATAGCAGAACTGAAAACAAGATAACAACACAAACTAGAGAAAGATTTAGGCAAAAATTCCCAGACTTACCTCTTTGGCTCCAAGAATCTCAAAAAATGGACTCAGGTTATCATCTGAAATGTACATGGCGTAAGCAGAATCATAGACCCCTTTTCTTTAGCGAATTCTACCAATTTAGTCAATTGCTCTCTTGAAGCAGCATAACCTGCTGAGTTATTGAACAGAAAAATATGATATCAGTCCGACGAACTGCAGATAAATCAGGAAAGAAACAATTTTCGGGAGTACACTTCAGGACTTCCTCTTGAGATAATTTACCAGAACATAATGAAAAACCTCTATATGTATAGAACGAAGAGCTCTATCAGTTTTGTATTTCTGTTCTTAATAAAAGCCTAGTAATGAACTGTGCTATCACTGCAAGCAATGGTTTGGGACATTCCTCATGCGGAAGATGGCCACAACCAGATATTGCTACAAGTCTCTACACCACAGTAGACTTAGACGAATTAGTAGATGAATCAGAAAACACGACACCATAGTAGATGTAGACGAATTAGAAGATGAATCAGACAATTTATTTTTGTTTAAACTTATGATAATAGGTGGCTCAAACAATTCATAGGTCTTAGAAAAATATTTTAAAAATAAAAAACAATAGAACAAATAATCACCGACAAAGTTTCTATTGATGATTGCTGATGGTATAAGTAGTCGACGATGTCGTTGGCAATCATCGATGGCTACCAGGGACGGAACCAGATTTCTGTTCATTGAGAGCAAGATCTAACTACGTTCATTTTTATTTTTTTTCCAAACAAGATGATAATGCAATAATATTAAAAATGTGACTTACAATTCTTTCCATACGCTCGTAAGCCGAAACATAATTACTTTTATATTTTCAATAAAATCTGGACTCAACTTTTTACTATAAACAATTGAACAAATAAAAAACATCTACTACAAGTGTCCGAACTAATTTTACATGTGGAATTAGAAAACTTTGCTTAAGCCAAAAAATTTTGCCTAGAAAACCAAAAATCATCAAACCAATGGAAAAACCAATTCAGGGAAAATGTGAAAAATGGGGTCACGCGAGGTATAAGTTGGAAAACCAACAACTGCCTAGAAAATTTTTCCTGTCAAACAGCCTAAAATGTTGAAAATGAAAAATAATTTCCAACTTTCATGAAAAATTCTTCATATCAAACAAAGACCTAATTTTCTAAGACCTTGAATTCAAAATATTAGAAATGGATTTTGGCACTATATAACTTTGACCAATGCCGAGAAACCTGTGCATGGTTTGGTTTGGGTTGGGTTGGTTTTAAGCTCAACCTGAAACAGAAAATTGACTTTATCGATTTAGGTAAATCCCAGTTCAAACCGACCCAATTCAACTGTTGAAACCGAACCAAACCAAATCGATTTGAATCGGTTTGGTTTGGCTAGTCGATTTGAATATTTGTCCGAGTTAAAAAAAATATATGAATTTTAAAATAAAATAAAAATGAATTAGCAGTCAGTTAATTGACAAGTTGGTTGCTTAAACCGCAATCAACCCGACCCGAATTTTTAATGGTTAAAATTAACCAAACCGATTTTTTTGTCAAAGTGAACAAAGGATTGGAGTTTTAATCTAATGAAAATGGATGATTTCTACATGCTATCCACAATTACTATTTTGTCTGGCTGCATGTGGAAGAGGCGGGTCAAGTTGCATTTCAGACCGAGGACAAGCTGAAGAGGCAGACTCCTAGAATGCCTTCAATGGAGAGCATATAACAGAATTGAATTTCTGTGGACGTAGATCCAGGTAAGTCTATTGAGAAACCACACAGTTTTTAGTTACTAGAAAAAGTACTATTCACTGTCTCTGTGAACAGTTCTTTTATTTGGCACTCAAACCTTTCTTAGCAACCATATTAAATCTCCAACCATTTTCCCTAAGATCTTTATCCATCAATGATAATTGATATGGTCAAATCCACCACAACTCATAACCTTGTTGAGGCTTGTAGAACATAAACATACTTAACATTCTCAAGTGTAGCCGAATGTAGGAGGGAAAAAAAAAGAGAGAGAGTGGTCGGGCCATCAGTTAACCGACGGCCCAGTCCATCTGTTACGGCCGAGCCGTCGGTTAAGGGACGGCAGGGCTGTTTGGCCCAATACCATTTTTCACATTTTTTTTTATAAAATTATGTACGTATGCTATAACATTTGTCAAAATAAAACTTAAAAACTTAAAAAATATATTAATTTAACAAAAACGAAATTAAATGTACATAAGTATACTTACCGATTCGAAGTGTTGGATATAAATGAAATATCTTTGTTGAGCTTTTAATAAATTTATGAGATTTTAATATTGAAACAGATGAAAAATGAATGAATTTTTATCTGTGTTAGAGTAAACAGATAAAAAAAGTGATTTGGATATGAACTTTTAAGTGAGAAGCATTTGATTTTTACTTTGTAACTTAAAGGGTATTATTGTCTTTTTGAACAAACTCATATTTACCCCTCAGACTCCTATTTTCTACAATGGCTTGAGAAAGTAGGTTGAAGAAGAAAATAAATATTGATGAAGAATCATCTTCAAAGAAGAAGAAATCTTATAAACCCAAGGCAGCATTAATTTCTTCAATTTCCCATCTAGTGTAGTAACCTTTCTGGTTTAAGCAAAATAAATCAAACAAGAGAAAGAAAGTTGGGGAAGAGGAAAAATTAAGAAAATATGCTATTTCCTCACTTCAAGAGGAAAAATTAAGAAAAATTAAGTAATTGAATTATTCATTTTCACCATCGTCTTCTCAATTTGTATTATTTTT